AGGCTCAATTTCAACAAAATACTTAAACAACTTTTAAACATATAACTAATCCTATCCCTATTTAGCAAGGGTGGGATTTTGATAAGCACTCAGCATTGTCCTAGCTCTACTGCCATTGACACCTGCAGTGCTTTTGAAAATTCCACCCCAAAGTACTCAAGCAAATGCTTAACTTTTAACATAAGTATAGTTCCATCCACTGGGCGTACTTGTCTGCTTAAAGTTCAAGCACATGCTTGAATGCATTGCTGGTGAGGAAGCAATTGGAGGACAACCACAGTATCCTTATGCAATCAATTCTACTTGAAAGGAGAGCTAGCCAAAAGAGTAGTTTTCAAATTACTGTATCATATTTCACTGTAGCTTTCTGGATTTAGTGGCAAATATCATGGTTTCAGAATGAAGAAATTGAAAACAAACTTTGCATTTGTCTGAAAGGGAGGAAGGGTTGCAATGGAGTGCCAAACAAAATCCAATACTTTATCCAATGTCTACTTATGTTGGCAGACTCTTTATGACTTCAGTGAGCATTGGATCAGGCCGTGTCTGATATATTAAGGAAAAAACAATAACCTAAAATATGCCAGTTTACTCCTGGGGAAATGCCGCGCTACTGTGCATGTGCATAATTAATGAGCCATGCATATTTTTAATTTTTTGCACAGAAAAAAGCTTCGGCTGGAAAGTTTGTTGCAGTTCCATATTTTGTCCACCAGAGGGTGCTAGGGAAGAAAGCGCTTGCCTTTTTCACAGCGCTCATTGGGCCAGGTCAGGAGACAGGGGCTACGGGCAGACAGACAGTGTGGGGCTGCTGGGAAGTTAGACAGGGATTCATTAGGGCTACTGGGGGAGACAGACTGGGGCAGGGGCTGAGTGGAGGTGCAGGGCCACAGGGGTAGGAGGTGCATGGCCACATGGTGATGGGGGAGCGGGTGCAGGGCCACATAGGGAGAGGAGGTGGCTGAGCTGGGGCACAGAGACACATGCGGACGGAGGGAGAATTTTCAATGTTTTGGCTCAGAATTCCCCAGGAGTAAGTAGTTGATTCAAAATAATTGAAACTATGCTTTTACTTATTTATACTGCCATGTTAAATGTAAACAGATCAAATACTGCCACTCAGTAGATATTTAAAACTGTTGTAATAGTAATTCAAATAATATGATTATTTTGAATGGTCATTGATTTTATAAATTATTTTCAAACAGAGACTTTATTAGGGGAAAAGATAGGTAGGAATGAGTTTTGCCTTGTTCTAAATAAAAAAATAAGATGATTTGCCTGCTTAAAAATCAGTATCATATGGGCGTCAGCAACACATTATTATGCTTGCTTCTTACCTTTAGGGAGTGAGAGAGTAATTCTACGCTAACCATGATGAACAGTGCAGTTTTCCTGTTAGTCTCTGCATTCTGTGTACAACTCCCAGGCCACAGTAGTTTAAGAATTGATAGGCTGACAAATGACAATATTTCTGTTATCCATCACCAAAGAAGAAAACTGTGAGAGTCATAGCTGAGCCTAAATTCAAAAGTCTTTGAAAAGCAAAAATAAAAAATAACCCTAACTCATTGTCAAGTACACATGAGTAACCACGGTAGACCAATATAGGATCCAATCCTGTTCTTATTGAAGTCAGTGGGATATTGAAACCTTAAACAGTATACAACATTATTTTAATTAGAGAATTGTACACAGTATAAAATATTCATGAACTGAATTTATAGTGGGTCCCATGAAAATCTTGACACTTATGGCTAGATTCACAAGGGGACTTAAGTGTTGCTGCAATGTCTAACTTTTTGGCACTGAGAAAATCACTGGGATTCACAAACCTTAAGTGTTCAGGCTTCCTATACACTGAGTGGAGGGAGATAAGTGCCTAAGAATGGGATTCACAAAAGCCAGCATGCTAGGAACTCCTTGCCTCAGCTAACCACTGGGAGAAGGGTGTGTTCTCAGCCTTAACCCACTCAGGAGGTCAGTGCCTAAATCCAGGCTGGAGGGAGGTGCCTAGTGATGTTTCAGATTCTCACTGATGCTTTAATGAAGAAAACCACCATCAACCTTTAGCTTAGTGGTTAGGATAATCACTTGGGGTGTGGGAGACCACAGGTTCAAATCCCCCTTTTGCCTGAGTGGGAGAGAGATTTGAACATCTCTCAGGTAAACACTCTTAACTACTGAGTTATGGGATATTCTGATGTGGAGCTCTCAATCTCTCCTGTTGAAGCTTTATATAGTCACTGGGACAGAGAGAACAAGAGAGAGCACATGCATGAGAGTGACTTGAACATCGTGATTACAGCACTCATCCAGGATGTGGGCAACCCAGGATCCAGTCCCCCTGCTCCAAGGATTCTGTAATTATTTATACAATGTGGAACAGCTTCAACAGGAGAGACTGAGATTTACATCAGAATACCCTATAACTAGGTTTGGAAGAATTAGATTTTTATCAGTAAATCCAGGTAAACATCAATTTCATCATATACATACAAACCAACAACAATATTTCTATCAATAATTGAAATTTTCAGATAGGCCAAGTTACAAAAAAAATGATGCTGGAGTATTTTAGAGTTTGATTTAAGGATATTTACTTTGTATATTTTGACCTATGTTGACAATTTGTGTGTTGTTGTTTCAAAAAATTAGTTTTATAACCACTATCTACTCTCATTAAATAGTCTGACCCTCTTCTATTGACTGACCCCCCACATAATTTCCTGAACCTGGACATTTAAATAGATAAAAATCTAAAAAAAGCTGTAAAATAAACACCAATATTAGCTGTCTAAAAATAAAAATCAAATTCTGTCAAGCTAATGCATATCCCTGTGGTAAGGACACTCACCTGACTTAGGAAACTCCTGTTCAACTCTCTTATTACGTATAAGGGGTATGTGAACCAGGGGTCTCCCACATCCCAGGTGAGTATCCAAACCACTGGGCTAAAGGTTATACGGGAGGTTTCTCCTCCTGAGCTATTTTGGGTGGAATTAGGTCGCCTCTGAGCCCACCTACAAAATCAAGCCCCACAGGCAAGTTAGGCGGAGGAACTCCTCTCTTTCCCCAGTTTGTGAATCACACTGGGGTGTAGGTGGGAGACTGGTATCCAGATGCCTAACGTAAGGCAGCAATGTGCATGTTCAGAGGCAGGAACATAGGCATCCAAGGAAGTTTTACTGCAAAAACATAGGTACCATGTGAGTTTAGGCACTTACAGGATCCAGGGGCAGTTTAGTGGAAGTTTTATGAATACATGTTGTACCTAAATCCCTCTGTGAATCTAGCCCTTAGTGCTCTATGATAGTTAATTGTAAGATGGTACAATCTTTTCAGTATTCCCTATGGGGAATTCCAGAGGTAATCTTCCTCAGGTAAGCGTCACGGTGGGATAAACATGAAGGGTGGGATTTCCAAAAGCATTGAGTGTTAGTATAACTCTGATTCCACTGAAATTGTGGACTGATTAGAATTGTTTTCATTGACTGATGAGTGCAGATTTAAGGCAACACTAAGCACCTATGAAAATCCCACCCCAAGATCTTACCCACTGCAAATCTTCTCATACAACTGGGGAGGGGGAGGGGGAGGGGGAGGAGAATGGCTAGTTATGATAAAAATGAAAGTTAATTTATGTAGGGTGGGGGTTTTTTTTGATTCATTAAGCTGCAAAGCAATAAATATTTCCCAGTGGGATTCGATAGTAATCAAAAAGATCATAGGGCAAACAAGACTTAAGAAGGTGAAATAGAGTAAAATGCAATTAATTTGAAACTATTAAAGTGTATAATAATTAAGATTAAAAACTGTGTATAACCTACCTATTGTCATAAGGCCAGATTTTGCTACTCTTCCTCGTGCTGAGTAGTACCTTACTTGAATTAGACTAATAGTAACTGGGATTGCTCACAGAGTAGAGTACTATTCGATGTAAACCAGGGTATCAGAATTTGGCCCAATTTTTGGAAGTGTGTGTGTGTGTGTGTGTGAGATATATATATACACTTTTCTAATTTCAGTTGCAATTATGTAAATATCAAAATAATTTAACAACATCTGCCTCTAACAGGCTGCAGCACTGAGCCCTGTCTGAATCAAAAGCCCAGCTGATTTCAGTGAGTGGCCTACTTGTATAAGAGCTGAAAGATTTTTGCTTCAGAGGTCAGGAACTACAGCATTCTACACAGCACATCATAGTCACAAAACATTTTCCTTTCAGCCAACACTTCAGCAGTCAGGTTCCTACATGAACACACGCAACACCTTTGACTGTACATATTAGACTGGAAAGGGGGGTTGCATGCACTTATCCATTACTGTTTTTAATTTGCTTTTTACATGTCCATGTATTTACAGCTTAGGCTCTTATCCTCAAAGGTATTTAGGCACCTAAATGTCTTTGAGGATCTGGGCCCTAACCCCCAATCCTGAGAAGATTATGCACATGCTTAACTTTATATACACAAAACCGTGCGGATGATAACAGGACTTCTCGCACATAGCATGTGCATAAGTGTTCGGAGGATCAGGGCCTTAAATTCTATTAATAAGATACTGAAATGTGTTTTACAAAGAATCCAAAAGAAAGGTTTTGTATTTAAATCAGTTAAAGAAAATGGGCAGCACAAAATGAGGCATCTGGCTGATTATGGCAGTGTGGGTATCCAGTCAAGTTAAGATTCACAAGCTAATTGGTACCAAAAGTTGTTAAATATTATACCTAAAATAATATCATATGTCAAGAAGTGCCTTTGTGCCCACACTTCTCATTAATTTGTGCTGCCAATGTCTGTTAGAATTGCATACATTGTTGTTGCATATGACATATGTATTATTAAAGTTAACATGCGGTTCAGTGATTTTTACCTTTAAAGATTTTGTCAATGCAAAAACTTTTAAAAATACTTTGTTTTAAAAGTTCGTTAATCACATTGAGGAAGGGAAGACATTTTCAGTATATTTTTAAAAAGGAAATTCTCCTCTGTTTTCAGACTCGAGGCCTCTACCAGATGTAGCCCTGACGGGGAAATGTACTCGAGAGTGTGATGAATATGGTCACTCGGACTCCTGCTGGATGCCAGTTCGCACTTCGCCTGAAAGGAAGCAGAAGAGCCAGCCAAAACTCTCCACCTTCATGCCCGTTGATGAACGGGGCAGTCAGGAAAAGCTGGCCAATGGAGAAGCCTCCCTCATGGGTGATCGCAACAGAAACCTCCTGAACAAAAAGTTGACCTCATCCTATGAGACCTTCAACGCAGCTAGCTTCAGCAAAAATGAGGAAGCCAATCCAGAGGATATCCCCCTTACACAGACAGGGGAATACAAGCCATCTCCTGTCAATACTCTAACTAGAAGAGAAGTTTACCTGTAGGTTATAAAGAAGCCACAACAAGGTTCATTCATGTATAAGAAGGAAAAGGGGCAAAAAATCTTAAAATCAAAACAGTTTAGCACGAAAAAAAGGAGGAAAAAAAAAAAAAGAGGGGGCCACCAAAGAGACAAAAGCTTTGCCTGCCACTTCTGCCTCCATATCAGGCATTTAATTATATAGTCCGCCTGACTATACTGTACAATGTAGAAACCATTGTTACTTGCATGTCTAATCCCCCTCACTGATTTTTATTTTCTTAAATTTCTGGTTGCAAATTGCTTTCATGGTAACAAGCCTGATTAAAAGAACACAACACACTGTTGTTACCCCTCTGCTGAAGCATGATTTAAGCCACTCTGATTTTGTTTGATTGTCACCTGGCTTGTTAAGGATAACAGGTCAGGGAAAATATACTCCAAGCATATCATCTGAATATTGCTGATCCCCATCAGGGATGATCCTTTAGAAACCGTACAAATATAGAGGTAAATATAAAGAGATGGCCATTAATAGGCACTTTGTGAAGATCACAGCTTTAATTTTCTCACCTAAGGCTTGAAGCAAGAGAATTATACTCAGCCTGAGACTGCAGTCCAAAAGGTGGCATATTTCCCTATGAATCATGAACTCTGGGTTCTGTTTTATCCATAGAATGAACTCTCTATCGGCTTACTTCAGCGTAACAAAATTAATGTCATATGTACCGTAGCATACTAATGATAAACTGTTAAACTCATGTTATTTTGGACAAGACGTATATCTAGTTGGGATGATCAGAGTAACTAAAAAGGCCAAAGATCGCACTATGGATCAGGGGAATTGCTAAGTATTTGGTCTTGGCTTAGAAATCTAGTGTACCCACAAACCATATGCATGCACACATAAATACACATTCAATTACATTTTGCACAGCAGCATAGTCCACAATCCCAGATGACCTACTACTACTTCAATAGATTTTAGTAGAATGCCCAAAGGAACTGCTAAGATGTTTGCTGATAATGTTATAACAACATACAGCATCTACTGTATGATATGATACTGCCAGTTCCAGGGAATATTTTCCAAAAGGTTACCTTTAAAAAAAATAAATAAATAAATAAAAATCAGAGGCTGTGTTGATGTCACCCAGAACACTTTTGGGGGAAGATGGATGGCGGGGTAATGGTGTGATGCAGTGACAAGAGTATATTGCAAGTCAAGTAAAATTTCTTCTTTTCACAGTGCAAGGTATGCTTGCTAAATCTTTTGTCATCAATGTTGCCAACTGTGTTTGTGAAAGGTACGATGCAGGTTTTCTTGAAACACAAGTGCATTAAAACAGTACTGTGCAATATGAAACAATGTCAAGACTCAACACACTTAAGGAGGGTAACAAATGGTCAGATTGACTTGAACATTGATATGATACTTTACACGGTAGATTGAGAGAAGTCACAAGGAATCCAAACTAATCATGATAGCAAAGAGCTATGGCCAATGACGATTCTCAAAGTATGCACTTCGTAAAGGGAATAGGAAACAAAACAGGTTTTTTGTGCAATAAAAGCAACAAAATGTATAAGAAGGACTTGAGCTAGTTGCTTCGTAGCTGATGATGTAGTAATTGAATACTGAATTCAGACATTCAGATGAAAATGACAATCAGTCAACACAGTGCGGACAGTTTGAGAAGGGTGCAAACATTCAAATCCCTGGGTGTTTAACCTGGCATTAGGGCATGGCTAGATGGCTGTCTAGTAGACTGTAGTCACAATGTAGCTTTGGGTAGTTTCTTCCTTTTGAAGAATTACATAGAAAATATAACATTAAACAGCCTGAAATATAGGTTGATAAATCAGTACAACTCATCACAACATTTACTTTTCAAATTCTCTTCTCTATATAGAGGGGTGCCCTTTTTGGCCATTTCATTCCCCTCTTCAGTTTAGTTTTCATTTTGATGCTAGTTTGTGTGTAGAAGTTATGATGAATGGAGACGTGTTATGAAGAAAAAATATTAAAAAGATTAATAATTGAACTTTTTTACATTTAATTATTTAAATTATGGAGAGATGCAAATTAGTACTTTATGATAAGACTGTAAAGAGCAGTTACTGCATTGTATAATCTGTAAGTACCTGTTAAGGGGGAAAAAAGAGATTCTAAAGATGCTTATGTAATGTATACACAGTTTTATTGCACGCTTCAACAGAATACAGAATTGCATAACAGATGTTCAACAAAACTTTTTTTCTTTAATAGGAACTTTTTATTTTAATACTACAGTTGAAAACCACTAGATGACTTGTTTAAATATATCTTTAAACCCTTTGTCTAAAAAGCTAATAATACAGGTCATACAAGACCTTCAGATTAAATGGATCAGCAGTCACTCACCTGTTTATGCACCACATAAGGCAGTCATGCCATTGTCATTTACTTGTGAGCAACTTCTTAGAACTAAAATGGGTGTGAAAAGAATAAAAAAAAATCATTGTACTTTAAATATTCACAGTACTTCTAGTAGAACTACCCGTCATAACATGTCAATTACTATTATGACCTGGCATGACACAGAAATACATTTTGTGTTTGTAGTTTTTTTCATTTGAAATAGGTTAATCTGGTGCCACTCCACATATAGAGTGCTTTTGTAAAAATAAACACATAAAACGAAATGAAGTAAAAAAAAAAATTAGAGCGAATGCAAAATATGCAACTGTGCCTTTTATACCTGTTGTTATAGTAGAAAGGTAATTGGGTTTGGGCACTGAGGGGTAATGGGCTATTCCCAACTTTTTTGAACCTGTATATTGATCCCTGTTTATTTTCTGATAAATTATAAATAATATATTTAAAAAAATGCCTTCTGCCAAACTCAGATATTGGACCAGTCTTAAGTATCTTTGATTATGAAAACCAGATTGTAGCTTAGGTATGTGCTGCTTTTTTGTTTTCCTTCCAATCTACTGCCTGGAAGGCTACAGTATAGATTACAATAGATAAATACCATATAGTTATTTAGCAAGGTGTCATAAGTTCATTTTGCCAGGAAAATTGATGATTTAGTGTCTCTTAATTGCTTTTAGCTGCCATTCCATTTTGGTTGTACAGTATAAAAATTGTCCTTTTTTCCTTCCATGGGAAACTCAAATGAACTTTGCATGTATTTTACATTAGGACACATTTATAGATGACGCATAACTATATAACTTTATATGTATTAGAGAAGTCTGTAGCTTCAGTCTAAAATCTAATGCTCCCTCTGAACCTCCAGATCTACTATATTCAATATGGTTTCTGACTGGCCTGCTGCCTGAGTTTCAGAAAAAAAAACCAAGGTAGACATTATTTTTATGTGAGGAAGAACTAAAACGGGATCGAAGATGCTTGGCTGAAAGGCTACCCTAGGAAGTTGTCAAGTAGGAAATGTAGAGCAAAGCCAAATGAATCTGCCATAAATACAGCTGTTGCTAAAAGGCTTTTAAGGAACTTGAACAACAAAGCAGTTTCTTATGTTATATCAGTTATAAATATACAGTGTTTCCTTAAGAAATGAAAGAGAGGAGAGGACAACAGTAGAAATGAATGTAGTCCAGCAATTAAACTGAGCTGCTGCCCGAAGAGCATAACATGGAAGAAGGCATCATTTTCCAGCTACCTGGGGTACACTTTCAGACAACTTTTTCCTAAATTTTAAAGCACTTGCATTCAGTGTGGTACGATCTGTTTGTAATATTAATCATTGACTATTGTTCTGCAACTTGGATGTTGATAGTGAAGCAGAGAACAATTTATCATTGTTTATTATGAGTCACTATGCACGCACCTATGCTAAACATGGCAAAATGTATTAAAAGCTAGTCCACCTCTATTTATGAAATATTTTACATAATTTAATTTGCTTTTGTACAGTTTTATGTAAATAAATTGCTTGTCATTTTTGTCTCTGCAAATTAAAAATATAACATGTTCAAATGTTGCCTATTGGCCAGCGTACTTTCTCTGACAGGTTATTTCACTTTGGAAGACATTGAACAAATTCACAGGCTAGTTTGAGCAGAACATTTAGATCTATTTCATGCATGTAAAAAAAAAAAAAAAAAGCTGCTCTGGTAACTGGCCCCTTCAGCTGGCAATGTAACTGTGGCATTACTTTTCTCTGTAGTGAAGTGCACTATGGATTAGTTACATTCCACACTTCAAGTTCTGACTATTACTTGGCCTGTTTTAACTGGAGAAATAAAATATTTGGCATGGTAGTACTTCTTTCCCATTAAAGTTGAAAGTGACCTGTCTTTTTAAAGCATTTAGAAAATGTTTACATTAAAGTGAAAAAAAAATCTAAGTGAAAGTACAGCTGTGTTTATTCACACAATAAAACAACAATTTACTCCTTGGGGGTAAAACGACATGTCTAGTTCTCTTTTTTTTTAAAAAGTTCAGTAGTATTGACAATTAGGATGAAATGTCTGATCAGAAAGGCAGTGCCAGGGCTCTCACAAGGTTTTGCAGAGTAGTATGCAATAGCGCATGCAGCTCCTTCCCATGTCTGAACCAGGTCCTCCCATTTCCGCATACCCACTTAGGATCACAAACAACACAGAGCAGAAAAGTGAGAAAAAGCTGATCTTGTAGCTACCAGGATCAAACAATCTGTGGTTAAAACAAAGATATATAGGTCCCAACTCTCCTCTCTCCCGTTTTATTTTTGACCAATGCATCTCCCAACTATTTAACTAAAAAGTGCACTTATGTACCTGATTGAGAGGTGAATTAGTCCCTTACTATTTTTCCTCTTTTTGTTTTTCTGCCTTTGATCCTACCATACAGAAACATTGTGATTTTTTTTTAAACCATGTGCTGAATTTTTCCTATAAATATAATATTGCAAGGGAGAGCTTGCTAAATGTTGCTGTGGAGTTCCACTGAACAATACAAAAAAAGTCAGATAAATCCCATTACCTTAGCTGCAGAATAGGCTTTGAGATTTTATAAGTCTAAATTGACTAGTACTCAAATTTTTATGGCTCGTGTGTGATTATCGACCTCTGAAATGGTATTTTTCCCTAACCTTGCCTTATCTCTTCAAGTGCATATGTCAAGGAGGCGTCTTCCTTTTAGCAGAGATCTAAAATTTGTGTGTCTGTGGAAAGGTTTCAAACCTTAAACTGACCCTAAGTTTCCTGAGTGGCTAGTCATAACCCCCTCCAGAGGCATCATTTTAATGAGTAGCTTCAATCAGTCTTTCATGCTTACTTTATACTAATTCTATACACAAGGCATGACCTTCTGTTTGTTTGTTTTGTGTTTTATTTTCACTCTTCTCTAAAACTTGTTTACAAACTGCATCTAGGAAGGTGATTAAAGCAAGAAAAAAAAATTCCTGATCTGCAAGGAATGGTAAGAGATAAGAATGTAAAATGGAGAAAGTAAACAATTTATACTCCCCTTTAACCCTGGCTTCATTTCTCCCTCTTGCTTTGCAGTAAAATGTAAATCTTGTGCAGTGACTGAATTTAATATGAGTGACCTAGGCAGAAGTAATTTTGTGTGTAGAAGATGCTTGATAGTTCATAAATGTGCAAGCTTATACTGATAGATGAATCAACACCAAAATTATACCAAAGGCATGAAGGTTTAGTTTGTCTAGTGAAACACACTATGATCTCAGACAGACTGTTCATAAAAGGGGGAGAGAGAAGGTACACTTGATACTGAGGGAAAATTGCTTGCAGTGGTATGGTAATATGCATCAAATAACCAGGAAAATTGTTAAAGCAAGATGTTCAGTACTTGTGCACACAGAGAGAGAAAAAAGTTTGAGGCTGAGCCAGTAATGTGGAAGGAATATGCAATCATGGGTTACAACTGGAAGAAATTTGTTGTTCATCATGGATACCTGAGCATCTAAAATTTATTTAAAAACCTTGCAACAAAATTGATAGACCTGTGCTATAAACTACTTATCTACCATGGACCTTCCTAATTACCAGTAGAAAACCCTTTCTAAACAGAATCCAAGGAATGGGGAAAGAAGTGGCTTTATCTTATCTTTGGTTGCCCTCATCATAGAGGCAGCCACAGGCTACTGTAGCCCCCAAAGTGCAAGTTGTAGTAACCTTAGTGCTGCTGTAACTTGCCCTGCCTGCAACTATTTCCCTAGAACCCAAAGGTTTCCAGAGCAAAAGCAACTCCAGTGCTGTTCTCCTGACCCTGGAATATCCTGTATAATAGGGAATGACCAAGAGCAGGTGCCATAAAACCCCCATGCGAGGGAAGTTCTCAATAGGCCATTTAACCCAGCTTTCCAGAAGGGACAGAGTGGGGCAAAAGGTCCAATATTCGATGGGGGCACACTGTTTGATACCAGCTGCCAACTAGACATTGAGCTGTTGATCACTACGCGTTGAGCCCGATGATCTAGCCAGCTTTCTATCCACCTTATAGTCCATTCATCCAGCCCATACTTCTTTAACTTGCTGTCAAGAATACTGTGGGAGACCGTATCAAAAGCTTTGCTAAAGTCAAGTAATAACACGTCCACTGCTTTCCCCTCATCCACAGAACCAGTTATCTCATCATAGAAGCAATTAGGTTAGTCAGGCATGACTTGCCCTTGGTGAATCCATGCTGACTGTTCTTGATCACTTTCCTCTCCTCAAAATGCTTCAAAATTGATTCCTTGAAGACCTGCTCCATGATTTTTCCAGGGACTGAGGGAGGCTGACTGGCCTGTAGTTCCCCAGATCTTCCTCCTTCCCTTTTTTAAAGATGGGCATTCCATTAGCCTTTTTCCAGTCATCCGGGACCTCCCCCGATCGCCATGAGTTTTTAAAGATAATGGCCAATGGCGCTGCAATCATATCTGCCAACTCCTTTAGCACCCTCGGATGCAGTGCATCCAGCCCCTGGACTTGTGCTCGTCCAGCTTTTCTAAATAGTCCTGAACCATTTCTTTCTCCACAGAGGGCTGGTCACCTCCTCCCATACTATGCTGCCCAGTGCAGTAGTCTGGGAGATGACCTTGTTTGTGAAGACAAAGGCAAAAAAAGCATTAAGTACATTAGCTTTTTCCCCATCCTCTGTCACTAGGTTGCCTCCCCCATTCAGTAAGGGGCCCACACTTTCCTTGACCACCTTCTTGTTGCTAACATACCTGTAGAAACCCTTCTTGTTACTCTTAACATCGCTTGCTAGTTGCAACTCCAATTGTCATTTGGCCTTCCTGATTTCACTCCTGCATGCCTGAGCAATATTTGTATACTCCTCGCTGTCATTTGTCTAAGCTTCTTTTTTGTGTTTAAGATCAGCAAGGATTTCACTGTTAAGCCAAGCTGGTCGCCTGCCATATTTACTATTCTTTTTACACATCGGGATCATTTGTTCCTGCAACCTCAATAAGAATTCTTTAAAATACAGCCAGTTCTCCTGGATTCCTTTCCCCCTCATGTTATTCTCCCGGGGGATCCTGCCCATCAGTTCCCTGAGGGAGTCAGTCTGCTTTTCTGAAGTCCAGGGTCTGTATTCTGCTGCTCTCACTTCTTCCTTTTGTTAGGATTCTGAACTTGACCATCTCATGGTCACTTCCTCCCAGGTTCCCATCCACTTTTTCTTTCTCTACTAATTCTTCTCTTCTTGACCTGCTAGTCACAAACAGAGCACGACCCCCTAGTTGGTTCCTCCAGCACTTGCACCAGGAAGTTGTCCCCTACACTTTCCAAAAACTTCCTGGATTGTCTGTGCACTGATGTATTGCTCTCCCAGCAGATATCGGGGTGATTGAAGCCCCCATGAGAACCAGGGCCTGTGATCTAGTACTTTCTGTTAGTTGCCTGAAGATAGCCTCATCCTCCTCATCCCCCTGGTCTGGTGGTCTATAACAGACTCCCACCACAACATCACGGTTGTTGCTCACACTTCTAAACTTAATCCAGAGACTCTCAGGTTTTTCTGCAGTTTCATACTGGAGCTCTGAGCAGTCATACTGCTCTCTTACATACAATGCAACTTCCCCACCTTTTCTGCCCTGTCTGTCCTTCCTGAACAGTTTTTATCCATCCATGATAGTACTCCAGTCATGTGAGTTATTCCACCAAGTCTCTGTTATTCCAATCACATCATAATTCCTTGACTGTGCCAGGACTTCCAGTTCTCCCTGCTTGTTTCCCAGACTTCTTGCGTTTGTATATAGGCACTTAATAGAACTCACTGATTATCCTGCTTTCTCAGTATGAGGCTGGAATCCTCCCCTCATGCGCTCTCCTGCTTATGCTTCCTCCTGATATCCCACTTCCCCACTTACTTCAGGGTTTTGGTCTCCTACCCCTGGTGAACCTAGTTTAAAGCCCTCCTCACTAGGTTAGCCGGCCTGCTTGCGAAGATACTCTTCCCTCTCTTCATTAGGTGGAGCCCGTCTCTGCCTAGCAATCCTCCTTCTTGGAACAATGGTCAAAGAATCCATCTATACACTCTAAACAGATACACTGTGTCCACCTTACTCACACACTACTCCTCAGGAATGCACACACTTATACCCTCCCTGAAAACTCTACGCACACACACAATGTCCCCAAGATAATTAAATGTATTTGCCCCCTCCCCCCGAGTAATCACAAACTGCCCCTCTATTCCAGCCCCATCCATATTTCTTCCTCTGACAGAGGAAAGTGCTGGTGGTCAGAAGTCCTTTACTCGATCTGTTTTTTTTTTTTTTTAATCAATTGTTTAATTTTTGCAGCTCACTTAAATCTGGGCAGCTGCACAATCTTTCTGTTGTTTGAGGCTGGTCCTAAATATGAGCCAATGTTATGCTGTGCATTGAAAGTGGAACAACAGCTAATTTTGCATAGCTGACATCTCTGAACCTTAATCCTGCTCTTGAAATAACCCGGTCCTTTTCCAGCATCAGGAAGGCTGGGAGGAGCCAATTAGGGTGACCAGATG